TTTCTACTAATCCTGTACAAAAGTTGAGAGTGCTTGAATCGGTTTGCGAGGCTCATTCTATTAGTCTAGAGGTCCATTTATCTAATTCGCCTTTTTCTTTTCTATTGTCAACTATTAGTTGTATTATTTTTTCATCTGCTTCCCTCTTATGTTCTTGATACAACTTGTCGAATTCTTTAAAAAAAGTCTCGGATCCTTTTTGCCATGCCACTAGGATCTCAATCTTATGACCAGAGCATTCTAATAAGTGTTCTATTGTTTCTTAATGCTGATTACATGCTATACATCTTGCTTGCTTGTATAGATCTGATCTTTTTATTACTAGCTTGCTTAAGGTAGGTAGTTCATCATTGATCAATTTAACCAAAAAACTTCTTCTCTGTGAGCTTTTGAAGGAAATATTCCATGTATTTCTATCTTTTAACCTATCCCATGCCAGATCTCATGAGTAGGTTTAATGCTTATAAACTTGGTGATGCCATTCTATCTCTGTTCTATGTTGCTGTATCCATAATAGAGCTATTGATCTTTTATTGATTTACTTGATGAACTGTCATATTGGACTGTCTACCACTTCTTGTTGTCACATAGTTTTTGTGGATATCTTGCTTGGTTTAAGACTCTTTCATTCTTTGCTAATAGATTTAATGTCTCTTTGATCAGTCGGTCTACTTCTTCATTCCATGGATCATTAGAGTGGGCTTTAACCTTGGCCAAAGTTAGTTGGATATGTTTTTTCTTTATAAGATCTAGCATTCTCGCCCATAATAACCAATTCTTTTCTTTTAGCCATCTTTTATATATTATTTTCAGGTCTTCTTTCTCTAGCTTTTTCTATTTAGAGATGCAGACTTGACTATCTGTGAAGATCTTGACAGTACTGTCTATCAGAGCTACTAAAGCTATTGTAACCAGTGCCATCAGTTTTGTCCTTATAGATGAGGACCAGTTTTTGACTCCTATTTGAAATTTACTTTCTTTTCCAGCTTCTTATGTTTGTATCTATGCTGCACACATTTTTGCATTCTCATTTCTATAATTGATTAAGGATTCATTGAAGTAGATGATCAGCTTTTCCTGTAATTCTTGATTGTGCTGAAGAATTTTAAGTAGGCGATCTTGATATACTCCTTGCTTAACATTGTCTCTAAGTATTTCTTGTTCCCAATTTTCTATTAATACTTGTTCCATTTTTTCAATTTGGTCATTTGTCAGATCTTGGGTTTCTAAAACTATACTCTTAATCATTATACTATCAAGTTTCAATAGGGAGCAAGGAACTTTTGGTGATTGTGCTCTTCTAGTATTTTTTTGATGGTTTAAGAATTGTATAGTATAGATCAAATATGATTTTTTTCTATATTACATTTATTTCCATTTCTATTGTTTCATAAGCATCCTGTGCATTTGGTAAGAACTGTTTCTAGACCATCTTCTGTTTCTTGATAGTTGAAATAATGAATTATTACAGTACCTTGGCTATTCTTTTAAATCAGTTTTCCCTATACTATTTTTGATTCTCATTCTGAGTAACTATCCAGGTTTTCTTTTGTTTATATCTGCCAGGTTCAGGTTTAGTGCATTTTGATAGCCACTTTTTTTCCTATCCCTTTTTCCAAAGGAAGGAAGGTATATATTAAAGAAAGATATGAAAAATATATATGAAGTTTCATATCTTAATACAAGAAAGTCAACCAGAAGAGCTCAAGAATTAACAATCCCCTGCTCCAAGGTATTACTAGAAGAGACAATGGAAAAGATTACTAACATGGATTCAAACCCTCAAACCCTAGCTCCAATCAATATAGTGAATCATATATATATCAAAAGATGAGAAGAGGTCATCATTATAAACAATGTTATAGAAGGAATATATCAGGATCACTTAATAGAAATACTTCAATGCAATCTGGGATCCAATGTTAAAAAACTAATCTTCTACTTTGATGAATTACTCATTAATCATGGAAAGGAAGAAATAAAAATGGGAGCAGCATGGATCTAGATAGGAGATATGGGTAGAGAAAGTAGATTTCAGATAAGAGTAGACAGCTGGCTCTTTTCAACATATACAGAACTTGTAGCAATTGTCACAATACTTTTGGTGGTTCCAGTGGATAGTGATATGGAAATCCATATAGATAGCCAGGTATGTATCTTCAAGTGGTAAACAATAGAAAGAAAAAATCTAAAGTGAACTTACAAAAGATAGTTAAAGGAAAAAAACTGGTTCCTGTGAGCACGAATGTTAGAATTGGTAAAGAAAAAGACCATAAATCTGCAACTTATCAAGATTAAGGTACATTCCAATGATTCTTACAATGAAGAAACAGATGTACTAGCCAAAAAAGCTTTAAAACTCTCAGCAATAGAATGGAAAAAGCTAATCTCATACAAAATTATCGCAAAAATTAGATTGCAAGAAAAAACACTGGATGATCCAATAAGACAGTTTGTCAAAAAAAGTAAATAATAAAACAATTGTCTTCTAGTGGACACAATAAAACAGAATAGAAAAAAGATGGAATCATCAAATTATAGAATAGCAAGATTATATTTGGGACTTTATATGGGAAAGAATGAAAGAAGGGCATACCTGAGACACTTTCTTTAAACAATTGCAGTGAAAAAGTTTTCTCATAAAACTAATGAATGATAAGCTACCTACTCTAAAAAAGCTACCAACTAGAAGGTCCAACCTTTACAAACAAGTGAAGTGTATTGCATGCAGTCAGCAAAGTAAAACTTTTGAACATTTACTATAGTATCCAGCGTACAAAAAACAATTACAGAAAGCGTGGAATAAAGAACAAGATATGATTCTTAAAGACTTCAGATGGCTCTTACAAGAGAGAAAAAAAGAGATAGAAAAAAAACATGTAAGGTTGATTATCCATGACAAAGAAGAAATGGCCAAGTTGGATAAATAGATCTCTAAACTGGTAGAACAGACTTCAAAAACCAGTCAGGACACTTTAAGCTTTGCACAGGGCTAGTAAGGAGAGACCTAATCCTAAAAATGATAGATTTGAAATACTATGAAAAAAGAATTGATAATAAGGCAAAAAGATGGATATCAAAGATGCAAAGAAGAGTGTGCAACCAAATAAGGAAAAAGATTTGGAACAAAAGATGTGAGAAGATAATCAAATAGGAACATTTACAGGGAATCTGCAGAGTAGAAAAAATCAACTGATCCTCAGGTACACATAGCTTAAAACCATCAGTCCTCAAAAGTAAAGATCTTCTATCAGAGGAAGGAACTCAAGAAAATGAAAGCTCGAAAGAAATTCAATTCAAAGATATTACTTATGGAATAAAATGGTTGGGTTTTAAGCTTGATCAAAACAACGGATAGTAATCTGCAGTGGTAATCTGCAGGTAATGATGTTAAAGGTTGAAAGGTATTCATCTGAACCATTAATGGAATGATAAATCACTCCCGAAGTTGCACTTAAAGTTTTGATATATTAAGATGAATCAGTGACAAGTGAGTTAAATAAAGTCTTAGCTTTAGCAAATCATTTAAAATGTATAGTATACAAATATTTAATAAAGCACATGTATCTAGCCTGACCTAGAATAATAAAAAAAAAAAAATTATAATATTATATATTATATATTATATTATAATTTGTATTATTCATAATTTATAAATGCAACTTAAATTCAAAAATTAATTTTTTACTTTATTGCTGATGAATAATTGCTAAATTTTTAATGAATAGTTTTAATGATTAGTTAATGAATTTTTAATAAATAGTTTTGATGAATTTTTAATGAATAGTTTAATGAATAATTGGTGAATTGTTAATAAATTTTTTGATGAATTTTTAATTACTTTTAATGAATTTTTGCTAAATAGTTAATGAACCTTTGATAAATATTTAATAAAATTTTTAATAAACTGTTAATAAATTATAAATATCTCAATTTTTATAATATTTGTAATCGAATTACAATATATAATTGTCAATTTATTTATGTTATTAATTTATCGAATTATTTATTTTTTTCTGAATATTACATGTATATAAATAATTTAATTTTTTTTTTTTTGACTAATGTACAGTATATTATATCATATTTAAAAGTAATTAAAAATTATTTATTTGAATATTTATATTGATATTACTAATTAAAAATATTTTTACAGTATATGTATTAAGATAGTTAACTGAAATTCTTGTTTTAAATCCCAAATATAATTTTATTAAATGGAAATTCTATGATCATTGGAATTTTATGAAACCCTTTGTTTTCAAAAATTACAAACCCGGAAATTTCTATAGGGTGTTGTCGACCTCTCTAGAAATATGTATGTACAAATCATTTAAAGCTTAAAGCGCTCTGAGAAAAAAAATAAACATGATAGAAATTGGTAAAGAAAATTTCTCCGTATTGTTATTGGGTAAATAAACAGAAACGCAAATATGAATAGGAAGCAAAATGTTCAAAAGTATAAAGTTTTTACACGAACGATCGTGATGAAAAGATTCTTATTAAAATTAATTATTGAAGATTAATAATAAGAACAAGAAATAAAAAAATTTTTTAGAATAAGTATCGCATATATTTGCAATTGTGGAAAAATTTCAAGTCTTGAATAACTGTTTTTCTCAAGGGTGCATGTCAATTTTAATTGCAGGTGTTGAAATGTGAATCCTGACTTAAAGCAAAACCACCATGGTAACCTTTGTTGTCAGCGACAAATGTAGGTAAGTTGTGCTGTATGCATATACTGTACAGTGTACATTATATACTGTATACTGTATATAATTCATCGCATTTTTTTTTTCCTGGTTGGTTGAACAAAATTTTTCGCAAAACCTAAAGATATTATGCATATGATATCTATATTCTAAAATACAAAAAATATATATATAATTTACTACAATTGTTACAAAAAATCTTTACATAGTCATATCATTCCCAGAATAACAATTCATTTTTTTTTTTACGACCAGCGTAAAAAAGCCAACATTGAGCAACCGGATCGATTACGGAAGAGCTGGGAAGATGAAAAAAGGTTTTGTGAGAGGAAAGTTGAGTACAAAGATGTCGATAATAGGATAAAAATTAAATTGATTCTTACAGAAACAAAAACGCCCGCGCTTCATAAACGGTAGCCTGGTTTCGTATTCTCCGGTCAGAGGGCACATAAGTGTACCATAGATTGTTATATCTTTATCCACGAGTTCCTTTGCAGATATAAATCTCCATAAGGAAGAGGAGTCAACGTGTTTTTGCATTAATTTCGGAAGCGCCTTTTCTACGTAACAAACCCTGCTAACGGAGTCAAATATATCTTCAGGTAGTCCACTATTGGACTCACGATTATTCGCTGACCGTCGAACAATCTGTTTTACGGTCCAATGATCCATATTCGTTTGGCAGATGGTACCCTGTTTTTCCAGTTCCCACAAGTAAACACTGTCAATTGACTTCTTGTAGTCTTTATCACAATCTCGACCTCGGGTTATTATGGTACCCTGATTATATTCACTACCAGCGACAATGAAATAACATGGCGCGATGATTGGCATTTTCGAAAGAGCGTTCACCGCATCCGAATATACGGAATTATGTTCCATTACATGACGAACCAGCGTTCCGGTGGCGTACGCACGACGAAAAATGGCTTGCCGTATGAATTTTTGGAAATATGTGGAGTTTGATGTGCCCAAACAACTTCGATAATTTACCGAAACGGAGTATGCACCCAAGAATGATTCTTCCCCGTCTTCACGAGGGACAAGGCGCATCCCCGTCAAAACACCTAGATAACCGATCCACGTGGTAGCTATGTATAGTGGTTTCTTGTTTCGATGATATACCAATTCAACGGTCAATGGACGCAAGAAAGGCATTGCCCAATCCATGGTGCGGATGTGAAGTGGACCAAGGCATTGGTACTTTTTTTTATGTCGTGTCGTTATGCCTGTGTCATTATTCGGCTGTATGATTATGCTAGTGCACATTGCCGAAGCCTCATAAATATATTGCATCAGTGCTAGCCATCCAAGAGTGATACCTTCGATGTCAGTTTGCGGGTAGTGACCTCGCATCTGTTTGTTCTTGTCATGAACGGCCTTATTTACTATCTTCACTATGCCCTTCAATTCGCGATGGTTAGACAGAAATCCGATGTAAGCGAAGAATCCGAAAAACGACGTGATCTTGTTGACAATGAAAGTTTGAATCCAATTGAATTCCGAAAGTTGCAAAAGAATTTCATCACGCGAAGCAAGAATACAGGCGATGTATGTGGGAAAATGAGAATAAGGGTTGATGTTTAAGCCTGAAAAGGAAGTATCTGGTGCGGCGGTTGATAGAAGGATGTGTCTATAGCGTTCTTCGGGAGGCGAGTCAAGGTCAACGTTAAAACGAGGAACACCGATGAATGACATCTGACAAGTTGAATCGGAGCAGAAGGAAAATGGTAATCGCATCGACGGTTGTATATTAGTAATTATTTGTCGTGTAACAAAATACGTAATTTACAAAATGGTAAATGCACGAGAACGTAATATGCCGTGTCGTGCGTACGTTTTCATCGATTTATACTACATTTTTTTTTATTTTACTTTCCTTAAAAAGCTAAATTACGGTTCTCCCACTTCAACATCGCCTTTTATGTCCGTAAAAGGATTTAAATATTGTTTTTTGAAAAAAAAAAAAGTAGGATCCAAAGAGTAGGAAAAAATTTTTTTAATGGCATAACTTTAGCCATTATCAATTTGGGATTCATTCTTTGAGTGAAAAGGGGACAAAAAATCTTTTAGGAGCACTGTTCCTTGGATAAAATTTATTTGTTATATCGAAACTTCAAGTCTATTTGTGTGAAACCGATTTACCGTATATTGCTACCTCACGACTTCACCTTAAAATCAAGGACTTCTCAGCATCATAAAACACTTTCTTAACCATTTGGAAATATAATCGGACGACCCCTGTCAATTCTATCCTTCATACCTAAACCATCGAATCTTTCATGTTTATGTATACAGTACTTCATGCTACCATGCTAACATCGCTTTTTTTTAACGATCACCGATATTCACTGTATTACAACTTTTGCGAGTCCCAAGAGGCTATTGATTCTGGGATGACCAAGCAATTTACTCGAGACATAAGTATATGCGAATACATAATGTGACCCTTTGACGACGTAACATTTTATGATGACGTCCTTTGGATTTTGTATACTGTATAATCAATTTGCTGACAAGTATTATCTAACACTTATACTATATTTTACTGTGCGGTCGGTGGATTCAGACAGAGCGCGCGTTTATTTGTTTGTAAAAAAAAACAAAGGCGCATACATACGTATGCGTACGTAAATACCCGTACCTACACGATACGTATATATAATGATTTCTCAATGATCTACCGTGCATAATTTTTGAAAAAAAAAAATTTTTTTTTTTTTTTTTTTTTTTTTCTCCCGAAGCGAATTCAAGAAAAGGTAATTCATGTTTTTACACTTGATTACATTCTAACAATTATAATTTATCTATTGTTTGTGTTCATGATAGAGAATCCAGCGCCATAAAAAATGACGACCTTGACTCGCTTCGTGATCGGGACACAATTTCTTGTAAAAACCAATACCCACTCCGTTTTAAAAAACATAACCTCTCAATGCGTTAATATCACATCCATCACTTCTGCGGCTCTTTTTAACCGTTCACGAGCGTTCTCGGGCATCACAACACCGGGTGTGGTTTATTATAATCGCGAGTTGACCACCGAAGCTAAAATAGTTGTACCCACGTTAGGACGAAGTGAGAGAGATCGGATTGTGGAAGAAATGAAGAACTACTATAGAAATAATTATATCGAAAATTACAACAAAGAATTGTTAAACGGTAAAAATGTTGATTCAAGGATTTTGATGCAAAATTGCTTTAGAATCCTTCATTACCGGATCTTATTCTCTCTCTCTCTCTCTCTCACTCTCTCTTTTTTTTTTTACTTTCGCGATTGATATCCTTGATACAAAACATGATTAGACATTCCCGCTTGGCTCGATGGAATGGGTTTGAAGGGATTGGCTCCGCGTTTTGAAGGAAAAAGTTGGGAAGAAATAATTGAAATGACCAACTGGGAGCAATTACGTGACATTGGGATCACGCGTCCTCCTTATAGGAAAAGGCTCATTAGAAATTTCTGGATACTTAAGCGTGTTTTGGTACATAGTCTATTCTTCGGAAATCATTAGAAGCGATGAATGAATTACATGTACCGAGTAAATTTTATTAGGCCAAAGAAAATGATATCGTCCTAGAGAAGGGTGTTCGCAGAGGGGAATCAATTCCAGAACATGATGATAAAATAGACTTTACTACACTGGAAGGTATGATTTAAAGAATTTTACCTAGCTTATAGATATTGTTTTTTATCTTGTTTCTTTTTTTTTGGTTAAAAAAAAAACAACCAAAAAAACAAACACAGACCTTCCTACTATGTTTAACGGAGTATATGATGGTTTCGGGTATTTTGCGCCGCACTTTGAAGGAAGGAATTGGAGAGAAATTATAAACATGACTTGGCAAGATTTGGAAATATTAGGCGTCAGGTCGAGACATGTAAGGTCTCGAATGATCGGATACTTTTGGTCTATTAAGCGCGCCTTGGTGAGACTTTACGAGTTAAACACGTGTGACATTAATGACACTTGGATGTTCATCCGAAGATTCAAATATTTTTTGCGTGCAGGCAGCTAAAAATGGAGAGCCCGTACCGGAAAAACCAGAAAGATTAAGATCGTTTCAAAAATACGACACCTTTCGAAATCGGAACTACCCTACAGAGCATCAAGGATTTAATGAATGAAAGGTAGATTTTTCGATCGCTTTGTTCATGCGTGAATTGCTTCTATTCTCACAACGTTCGCCGAATCACGTAGAGTTCCACGCGACTGTATTGTGTTCTCTTGACAACAATCGATAACTCAATCTAGAAGCCAACACTAAATATTTAAAATTTCACAAAAGTTTTATTAATAAAGTAATAATAAAGGATGATAAACTTTTTTCCAAGAATCCATCTGTTCATAAATTATTTCTTACGGTAACTATTTTCCCTGAAGTCATTGTATTAAAAATAACTTAAATATATTAAATTGTACAGTACGTATACTGTATGTTATACAGTACATGTTCCCTTACAAAATACTTTTTTTTATAAATGTAAATTTAAATTACTATTATTTTATTTTATTTTATTTTTAACCCTCTATCAGGTTAGCCATGTGTGTTTTATTAAACAATAATTTAAATTACTATTATTATATATTATATAAATTAAATAATTTATATATTGTAAATAAATAACATTCGAAAAATTTAAAATTAAACTTAATAAATATAGTATATAATATTAAAATTATAAGATTCAAAAAACTGGGAATTATTACAAAAAAAAAAAAAAAACTTACCTCACTTTGATAATAATTTATTTTTTAAAAAATTCTCTCACTCTTCTTTTTTCTTTCTTCTCTTAAATTATTTATACAATTGATTTCAAAAGTTTTCTTCTATACTGTATATCATGTTTTTATTATAAATTTTAACATAATCAATTTTTAAATCTTTAATTATACAATCTAAAATCATAAAATTTTATATTACAATACTTGTTTTGTTTTTTGAATTTTTTTTAAAAAATATTTTATAAATAAATTTTAAAATTTTTTGTTGTTTTCAAATACTTTTAATTGATATTTATTATAAGTTTTATAAAAATAAGTAAAAAATTTTAATAATAATAAAATTTTAAAAATTATTTATAAAAAATTTTTAAAAAAGAATAAGAAAAATAGAATACTTGCTAAGACATAATATATAGGGATTCTATTATTTTTAATTATATAATTAAGAACTTAAAACTTAAAATTGTTAAAATTAAAATTTATACAGTTGAATAAAAAATAATAATTAGATTTTTTATTATAAAATTTTTTATATAATAAATTTATTTTAAATTAATATTTTATAATCTAATATATTTACAGTTATTTTTAAAAGTTTGAGTTCACTTATTATATTTTTATTATTAACTTTAATTTTATCAATTTTTATTTTTTAAAAAAACTCTTCATTAATTCTCTTTTTTTAATAATTTTTTTGGAAAAAGTGAACCAGTCTAAACATACAGTATAAGAAAAAATAATAAATCCTTCAAATCAAGCTATTAAACATTTACAATATACACACATCAAACTATTTGAAATTATTAAGAATAAAGTTATATACTATTTTACTAACTCTTTTTGCTTCTTTTTTTTAAATTTTTTAAAAATTAATTCACAATCAAAAAAATAAAACCAATATCAATCTCATATACCTTATAGCTAGGCCAGTACAGATTAACACCTTTTTTAATATTGTAAAAAACCTAAAAAGTAATTAAGCCCACTTGATAAATCAATCACTTCAAGGTCCAAAAAAATATTAAAACTCATTAAAGACAAGAGAATCTAAATATATATACATATCAAAGCAATATATCTATCTTAAACTTATCACACACATAAAAGAAAAATAAGTAAACCAAATATATATATATATAACTTGTTATCTAAACAAATTGATTAAGTTTTCACATCAATATAACAATAACTTTCAAATTAATGTAAAATACTAATATAAATAAACAAACACATCAAAACAATATAAATTTTTTTTGTATTACCTAAACAAATATATACAAATAATAATAACAATAAAAGAGCTTATTTATATTTTAAATTTAAACTATAATAAATATAAATAAAAATATATATATAAAGATATCTAATTAGTTATTATATGATAATATAAAATATAATATATTCAATAACTATAATATTGCCAATATAAATATGAATAAATTTGAAGCAATATTACAAATAGTACAAAATAAAGAAGAAAAGATATTACAATAGAAAACAAAAAAATTTTTTCTAAATTCTTTAAAAAACTAAAATTTTTATTATAATTTAAAATTTATTTATTTAAAAAATATAAAAAATATGATCTGTGGATCATTAGCACAGTGGTAATATTCTTAGGTTGCAATTACAAGATCTATAATTCAATACCACTTAAGGACCAAAATCAAAAATTACCCTTTTGATATTTAACAATTATCTTGTGAAAGACATACCCAATTATCTGGATCATGCCAAATTTAGTTAGGCTATATAAAGATAAGATCTCTGGTTTTTCTGATGATCACAAACTGAAATTAAATTGAAACAGAAAGGTTGCATAAGGAAAGACTTTTGGTCTAACTCTTATAAAAGTCCACAACTCCCCTGGTATGACAGATTCCATAGTACAAACCACCTTTCTAGCTCAAAATATCACAATATATTATTCCACTTAAATGAAAAATCATCAAATGGAATTGATTTGATACTACAGATGATGACAAAAAAGATAACATGCCTTCTTCCAAGGTCTGAGCAAATAATATCTTTGAAAGTATTGAAGAGTAAAATTAATCTCATTGAGTATATACTATACAATCTAATTTAGCGAATATATAATATAAAAATTTATAAAAGTTCACTGCTAAATTAGCCTGTTTCATCATTTATGACTGTGTATTTGACCATCTGATCTCTAGTTGGATCTACTCACTTTCTGAATAGTAGTAAATTCATCTAGAAAAACTGTGATAGGTTATTATTAATCTGCATGTATATAGAATTATATAGTTTATATAAGATTATTGATATCAATGTCAAAGGATTTTATTATCCGAAATATTAAGTTAAATCTTAATAAAAGTACCCACATCTAATACCCATTGCGGTTTAAAAAAATATATATACAGTATATATATAAATATTAATATAAATATTTTAGTTTTATAAAATAAATTTTAATTAAAATAATTTATATTTATTTAATAATATTTACTAGTCGAAAAAAATTTATTCAGCATAATGCCACTCATGTAACATTCATAAAAAAAAATAAATAATTTAGTTTATTAATGATATAAATAAACCGTCAATCAATTTTTATCATATAATTTGATATATAATTCAGCATAAATAAATCATCAATCAATTTTTACTATACAATTTGACATAATAAAATAGTCAATCAATTTCTACTATACAATTTGACATAAATAAATAGTCAATCAATTTCTATTATATAATTTGGTACTATCTGCCATATTAACCATTTTTACTATATATTTCATTAAAATTTTCCTCAAAAAATCATTAAACATTTACCAAAATATAATCACTAAGACAATAGCAGATATTAATATAACCTTCCCCAACACAACACATACTACACTACTTGACAACCTTATCGGCACAATCAAAAAGAATACTATCAGAAAAATAGACAAAGAACGAATATTATATAATAACTATACCATAGACAACTTCAAAATAAATGATACTATTACAATTGGAACACATAATGTTAGAGGTATCAACACTAGTCTTGATCAACAAAGACTATATAAA